TCGCACAGCTTGCTGCGGAGCGTCGGAGCGTCAGAGCGTCACGGCCGCCGCAGGAAACACGTTCCTCTGGGAACAAATGAAAGTGCGCGCAGCAGTGAGTGTTCATGTTGCTGCATGTTTGCTTCTGCCTGGAAGAAACACACAAACACGTCTGATAAAAGTCTTGGCTCCGTGTCAGCTGATCATCGCTCCTCCTGTTGGACAGGAAGTGAGCTGTTACTGTTATCCGTCTTTATGCTGCATTGGTGGTTTCCCAAAGCTACACCGTGTGCAGATATATCTGTTTATGTTATTATAGTTTTCTTAAAATAATTCTGTGTTTTGATTTGTTGTTTTACTTGTAGTCTGCACCACGACATCAAGTCAGATTCCTGTCATGTGTCAACCTGGTTGATGTCAATAAAGCTTCTGAATCTCAGCTTGTCCTCCATGCTGCGCTGCTGGAGGAGCCTGACTGCAGACTTGCATTGCACTGCAGCTACTGCACACAGGCAGAGAGGGCAGAAAGTACACACATCCTTTACTCAAGTAGAAGTACAGATACTCGTGTTTAAAAATACTCTGGTGAAAGTAGAAGTACTGACTAAACTTCTTAAGAGTAAAGAAGTATGGGCTTTGAAATGTACTTCAGTAAAAAGTACCCAGTTTGTGTCCTTGGGCAACGTAAGATGTGTAATGTAATGTTGTCGGAGTGGAGTAAAGTATACTGATACCAGGAACATGTAAGTACAGTAACAAAGTATTTGTACTGCATACTTCGCACCTCTAAATGACAATACAGCCTGAAATCTTAGCTTCTCCTTAAGGTGGATATTTTTTGCAGCGCCTCCCCCCCCTCCTCCTCCCTCCCTCTCTCTCACCCCCCTCGTGCCACCCTGCTCTCGCGGGTATAAATGGGAGGTGAAACCGCAGCAGCTTCAGTCCAGAGTCCATCAGCCAAGCGGAATATGCTCTCCTCTCATTCCTCGCGCGCACACTTCACCTGACTGCTCTGTCTTTTTCATTTCATCCCAGAGCGTCTTTTTGCGTGTTGAGTTTCTTCACCTGACGCGCTGTCCGCTTTCCTTTTGGACCCGTTTGGATTTAACGCATTTTAAATTATTCACCTGTATCAGGACCTCCGGAGCTCCGTGCCCTGGAGACTCGATGCGAGCCGACATGGCGCGCTTCTTTCTGCCGTTTGTCCTGATGTTGCTGTGTGTGCAGCCGGTGAGTAACTCTGACAGCACAGGAAGTCACTTTGTGTTCTCCACTCGATCAGCTTCGAAGTTATTCTATCGGTTTATCTTGTTTTCTGAAGAGCAGGGAGGTTTTGGAGAGCTGCGCTTTTACGCACAGAAACTCCGAGCTCCATGTTTTTACTTCAATTACATTTTAATATCACACATATATCTTAGTTGTAAATGATGCAGTCCAGAGTCCAGATAGAACCAAGTGGTTTCATTTTAAAGCATGTTGCAAAACGGCCACTTTGTGCATGTTTGTGTTTTTATGCATATTCTCTCATTTATACACATTATATAACGCTCAGTGTTCCTCCCTTCCTCTCCACTCAGACTCTCTCCTCCGGAGTCTTTGAGCTGAAAATCAACTCCTTCTCCAGCTCGCGGGGAGTTTGTGGCTTCCAGACCCGGGATTGCCAGATATTTTTCCGGGTTTGCCTCAAACACTCGCAGGACGTTATCAACCCGGAGCCCCCGTGCACGTACGGGACCGCGCTCACGGACATCTTCGGCGCGGACTCCAAATCCATCTCCAGTAGCGCGCCCATCAGGGTGCTTTTTCACTTCAAATGGCCGGTAGGTGACAGAAATCACACGCGTTGGCCTCAGAAGTCTAACGCCTTTAGAGTGTGTGCTTCACAAACTCAACAATGTGCATTTAAAGGCTGAATAGGTGATTCCGCTTCTCATTGATCCACTTCTAGCATGAATGATGAAAGTAAAGCTTACAAACCAGCAGGAGCTAACCGAGTAAAAGAAAGAAAGAATAAAGTTATGTTTTCTGGTCATTAATGGATCTTTTTTTTTTAAATATTATTTTCAGGGGACTTTCTCTCTGATCATTGAAGCCTGGAACGCAGAGTCTTCAGGTATTGAGTCTACAGGTACGTTGCTTCTGCACCGCAAGGGGGCGACACACACACACACACACACACACACACACACACACACACACACACCACATTATTCACACGTCCAGCATCTCATTTGGCACTTATTAATAATGTTTTCCCCTCAAGACAACCAGAACAATCTGATCAGCCGCCTGGCGACCCGCCGCAGACTCACCGTTGGAGAGGAGTGGTCCCAGGACGTGGACTTCAGTAACAAGAGCGAGCTCCGGTACTCCTACCACGTGCTCTGTAACGAACACTACCACGGGGAGGAGTGCTCTGCCTACTGCCGCCCGCGCAACGACACCTTCGGCCACTACACCTGCGACGAGACGGGGAACCGGGTCTGTCTGGAGGGATGGACCGGAGAGTACTGCGCCCATCGTGAGTTTTTACACACTTTAATGCACTTAAACCACATAAACCCTGCCAGAAAACACCAACGTGATGCTTTAAGGCAGGGAGGTCAAACTCAAGGCCCGGGGGCCAAATCCGGCCCGTGACTTCACTTCATGCGGCCCCTCAAGAGCTCTGAAAGAATATAATATGTGTATTATACATGCCGATTTACAGAAGCACGTTGCCCATAAACTACATGTCCCACAATGCATCTCAAATATTCATTTTTTCTCAGAATTTTACTTATTTTTTAGATTGTGACTTTTTCTCCAGAATTTGGCTTTTCTTTGTAAATCATTTTGTGACATGCGCACTGAAGAGACTTGCAATCATTTGCCCCAGACTTCTGCTTTCAGATGTAGTTAATTATGAAGTTATTACCCTATCAGATAATAATCCAATGCAGAGGCAATGATATCATATAATACAGGCGTGTGGTGCAGTGGTTGTGCGTTGGTGTTCGGATCAGGGGGTCATAGGTTCAAACCCCACTGCAGTCAGCATGTCGTTGTGTCCCTGAGACACTTCACCCCAAAGTGCTCCTGGATGGTCCACAGTATTGAGTATGGAAGTCGCTTTTTATAAAAGTGTCTAACAAGTGACGTGTCATGTAATAATACATTATTTTATATATATTAAATATTTATATATGTATTTTTATATATCTTAAAGTTACAACCGGCCCTTTGAGTGCAACCTTAATGCTGATGTGGACATTTCTGTCTGTGTTGTAATAAGATATAAGTATAAGATAAGAAGTCATTTATTGATCCCAATATGATTCGGGAAATGTAGCAGCTTAAAAAGACTTGTACACAAAAGACATTAAAAGACTAGAAATAAACAATCCAAAGTATTTCTGAAATAGAAATACACATTACAGTAACAAAATACAAGCAGGATATTATATTTACATTAATTGTGCCCGGGATTGGATTATTACAAATGAAATTGAATATAAGTGTGAAATGTACAGTGGGAGTTTGAGCCATCAAGAAGCTAAAGTTACACGCGGGGGCTCATGTGTGTCTTGGCCCTAAAACAACGTTTTATTTGCTATAGTTTCGGGTTGAAGTTTCCAAAACGTCCATAGTCAGCTTTAACAGTTTGATGGTGTTTTTCACTTCTTGCCCATAATGCCCTTTAGTAGGAAGTTGTAATGTTTGTACAACGTTTCATTGCTTTTGGTCATTCAAGCATATTTTACATTTCAATACAAAAGTTTAACAGCCATTATAAATGGAGTACAGCTGTCTGTTAGTAACAGTGCTGTCCAATGTGTAACAGTAGTTTAACCTCTACTCTTCTTACACTCCCTCCCTTTTTTTAATTGTAACGTTACTTCAGATTGGGGGGGGGGGGGGTGGGGAAAGAATAGGACCCTTGGCGCTTCAATTTTTTTTGTCAAGCGACCTTGAAATTGTTAAGTCAAGCAGTTGTCAACGCCATCGCTGACCCTGGAGGACCAAAAAAAAGATCTTTGAGAAGCTTCTGTTGTTCCCTGTGTGTGTGTGTGTGTGTGTGTGTGTGTGTGTGTGTGTGTGTGTGTGTGTGTGTGTGTGTGTTGGCTCCTTTTGTTTTTAGCTCAACAGTCGCCCGCCCGTTTTAACAGGCACACGCTGCAGCTTAATGTGCGCTGCCTTGCGTGAAAAGAGACGGCATGTGTTGCTTTTGTTGTGAGGGCCAGCTGCTTCACTCACTACTTAACAAGCACTCCAAGTGTGTGTGTGTGTGTGTGTGTGTGTGTGTGTGTGTGTGTGTGTGTGTGTGTGTGTGTGTGTGTGTGTGTGTGTGTGTGTGTGTGTGTGTTGTGTGTGTGTGTGTGTGTGTGTGTGTGTGTGTGTGTGTGTGTGTGTGAGAGGCAGAGAGAGAGAGGCCCTCAGAGGGGTAGGGGGTGGTTGTTTTCAGAATCAGAATAGGGGACAGAAAGAGCCAAAGCTTCATGTTAACTAAGCTGTATCTATTTCTATGTATTTATAAGCATTGTTTGAGAAAGGCAGTAAAGCCAAATAACACGATTCTTTTCTTCTCCCTGCTCCGTTTCGGGTACGGTGTGTTTATAGAGACATGTTTTGTAAATAATTGTTTTACATGAAGTTGTGCATACCATGAACGAAACAAATCAAAATGAAATGAAACTAAGAAGCATGCATACAAAAAAAATCACACAATTTACAAAATACACATCCTGCACTAGTTGTGAAGATATAGCAGCCAGGTTTGTTAGACTATAACTGGAGGATGAAAGCCTCTTTACAATGTACTTTTATTTCGTAGCTTAAGCCAGGAAGTTAGCTTCTTAGCATCACACTTCAAAGATTCAATGGCTATCAAATATATAGATACATACATACATACACACTTATATACATACATACATACACACATACACACTTATATACATACAGTGGGGCAAAAATGTATTTAGTCAGCCACCAATTGTGCAAGTTCTCCCACTTAAAAAGATGAGAGGCCTGTAATTTTCATCCTTGGTACACCTCAACTATGAGAGACAGAATGGGGGGAAAGAATCCAGGAAATCACATTGTAGGATTTTTAATGAATTTATTTGCAAATTATGGTGGAAAATAAGTATTTGGTCAATAACGAAAGTTCATCTCAATACTTTGTTATATACCCTTTGTTGGCAATGACAGAGGTCAAACGTTTTCTGTAAGTCTTCACTAGGTGTTCACACACTGTTGCTGGTATTCTGGCCCATTCCTCCATGCAGATCTCCTCTACAGCAGTGATGTTTTGGGGCTGTCGCTGGGCAACACGGACTTTCAACTCCCTCCAAAGATTTTCTATGGGGTTGAGATCTGGAGACTGGCTAGGCCACTCCAGGACCTTGAAATGCTTCTTACGAAGCCACTCCTTCGTTGCCCGGGCGGTGTGTTTGGGATCATTGTCATGCTGAAAGACCCAGCCACGTTTCACCTTCAATGCTCTTGCTGATGGCCCCATTCATTCTTTCCTTTACACCAGGGGTGGGGAACCTCCGGCCCCCGGGCCGTATACGGCCCGGGGGCCATTTGGTATGGCCCTCGAGGTAATTGAAAAAAAATTAAAGAAATCTAGACCGCAAAATAATTAAACAAGCGAGTGCCTGTTTTTCCTGGCAACGGTCATAGTCCTTGAACACAACACGAGCCAAACGTGGTATATGTCTCGTCTGACAGGGGTGTAGTTCTGACGGAGAGCATCAGAACACCGCTCCGGCACTTCAGTACCCATAAGGAGCCGTACACATGCCGCAGTTTCTGCGTGGCTGTGTCTTTAGTTGAAAGCCCAGTGGCGATCTGTTCATCTGTCATTCTGATCATACAGTCAATAACTGTGTTGTCATTAGCATCTGGTTAGCTAGCTATGCTAACGAATATAAGAAGCTTTGTCTCCAACAAGTGAGGTAAAGGCACATCTTTATATGATCATTATAGTTATACAAAATAAGAGAATAAAGTAAACGGGTATAAAATACTATATGACAGTAAAAAAAGTTGTTATTAATAAAGAAGAATACAGTTTGAAAGGAGAGTGATTTGTAAAATGTCCATAAAGAAAAAGAAATCTGTTTACAGTTCTGTTTCATCTGGGTGTTGAGAGATGTTTCCATAGAGCTCCTAATGTTGCTCTCAAAGTGCACCAGATTGATGCTTTCAACTTCAACATTTAAAAAGAGCATGCCCCCCGGACCCCCCTAGAGGAGGTTAGGTCCCCCCCCACTTAAATCATGTCCACATGGATAGGAAACTAAATACATTTACACACATCTTGTGTCCATATCTTTCTGTTTGGTGTTCATGCCACACCGTGCACGTGCATGCATCATCATGGTGAGAGATCTGGAGGTTGCTTTTTCTTTGCACAGCATGAAAGAAAGGCCAAATGAATGGGCTGTGATCTTAGTCTTTTAAGCAGAGGTCAATCATTTGTACGGCCCTCGGAGGATGTTGAAGAAATTGAAATGGCCCTTGAGAGGAAAAAGGTTCCCCACCCCTGCTCTACACGGATCAGTGGTCCTGGTCCCTTTGCAGAAAAACAGCCCCAAAGCATGATGTTTCCACCCCCATGTTTCACAGTAGGTGTTCTTTGGATGCAACTCAGCATTTTTTCTCCTCCAAACACGTCTAGTTGAGTTTTTACCAAAAAGTTCTATTTTGGTTTCATCTGACCATATGACATTCTCCCAATCCTCTTCTGGATCATCTAAATGCTCTCTAGCAAACTTCAGACGGGCCTGGACATGTACTGGCTTAAGCAAGGGGACACGTCTGGCACTGCAGGATTTGAGTCCCTGGCGGCGTAGTGTGATACTGATGGTAGCCTTTGTTACTTTGGTCCCAGCTCTCTGCAGGTCATTGACTCGGTCCCCCCGTGTGGTTCTGGGATCTTTGCTCACTGTTCTTGTGATCATTTTGACCCCACGGGGTGAGATCTTGCGTGGAGCCCCAGATCGAGGGAGATTATCAGTGGTCTTGTATGTCTTCCATTTTCTAATAATTGCTCCCACAGTTGATTTCTTCACACCAAGCTGCTTACCTATTGCAGATTCAGTCTTCCCAGCCTGGTGCAGGTCTACAATGTTGTTTCTAGTGTCCTCTGACAGCTCTTTGGTCTTGGCCATAGTGGAGTTTGGAGTGTGACTGTTTGAGGTTGTGGACAGGTGTCTTTTATACTGATAACGACTTCAAACAGGTGCCATTAATACAGTTAACGAGTGGAGGACAGAGGAGGCTCTTAAAGAAGAAGTTACAGGTCTGTGAGAGCCAGACATCTTGTTTGTTTGTAGGTGACCAAATACTTATTTTACCGAGGAATTTACCAATTCATTCATTAAAAATCCTACAATGTGATTTCCTGGATTCTTTCCCCCCATTCTGTCTCTCATAGTTGAAGTGTACCTAGGATGAAAATTACAGGCCTCTCATCTTTTTAAGTGGGAGAACTTGCACAATTGGTGGCTGACTAAGTACTTTTTTGCC